TTCAAGTTGAAGTTGAAGTTTCAAAGCCTCCGAGGAACTTAGAGAAGCGCCGAGATGAGATGTGAGGTTGGAGCACGCGTATTAAAACGTCTTCTTATTATTCAAAGCGTTGCGTCGTCTTTAATTTCTTCCTCTCCTTGCGACTTCCAGTCTTTCGTCTATACTCCACACTTTTCGATTCGTTTCGTGTACTCTTGTGTACTTAACGAAAGCGTGTCGTATTTTCGAGTTCAGGATGACAATTAGGATTTTTTTATATTGTATAAAATACAAAATTCAGTTTTCACATTTGGAGAATGTTTTTTTTTTGTATTTTTTACTCGACAAGCATAATAATAACCCGCGTGAGTCGTAACGGAAAACCGGTAGCAACCCTTCAGAATTTCACATCGCGCCTTGCATTTAAAACAATCAAATAAAAGGGGTTTTATTATACGACTCTTTCGGCTTCCTCATTTTTTTCCACGGACTCAGAGCAAAATAAATATAAAAAAACACAACGGAGGAATACGTAATGTTTCCAACATAAATAATTTATATAAAACGTCTTCAAACGCATTAACTCTGACTAATGTGCTCTCGTTTAGTGAAACTTTCCGACTGTAATGTGCGCAAAGAAAGTCGCCGAGAATAATAATAAAAAAACGCTGTACTTAACTGCCACGCAGTTAATTGAGTATGTAGTAGAGTAATAAACGAGGTAAAAGTAAACTAATTCGACAATTAGTGAGTGTGGATGGTAGTTGATGTTGATATACCTACATGTTGATGTTGTTGGTCTACACCTAACGCTTGCGCTAAGTCAATTTGACTCGTGCGGTTGCTTTAAAAGAAGTAAATAAACGGAAAACCTGCATTGCAAAGCATAGATACCGCGTTACAGTATTCAACCAGTACTATCGTTGCCTCAAATTGTTAACATACTCAAATAAAGGTCGGTGCTATGAGAGTGAACACTGCATACAGAATAATTGTTGCAGACTTGGGTTTAAAGAGCTCAACAAGTTTAGGATGAGTCAAATTTGCCGGTGGTAGTGATTTGGAATATGTTCCTCTTGTTTTCTGCGCAATTTACTAATGCTATACAAACATGTTCATAGCACTCTAGTGGTTTTGTATATTTCTGTTTGCTCCCAGCTGATACACGCTACTGTTGTAATACTGTTAGACTTTGCAAGGTGGTTCGGCGACTTTGGTGATTGTGTGCTTGTACACGGGTGGATATTTCGTATATAAACCACAAAAACGTTTCCGTTTCCGCGCTCGCCACACATGTCATCAGCGGTGTGCGCCGGTTTTCGTAGGTTCACTCTTGGGTGAGTACGAAGTGGCGTACGAAACGACTGGCACGGCGCGCGGGCATAATGCGGAATGGTTTTGTGTTCTACGCCTGTATTTTATATGCGAAGAAACGAAATGGAATCCAGTGCGCCCGCGCGCCTCATCGCATGTCGGCGGAAAAAGTTTTATCGTCGAGGCAGATGTTGTCGGCGGTAAATTGGTTAGTCACCCATTTTGAATAATAATATTTTTGCACTACTCTTTGATACACAACATGCAAGTTTTAACTTCTATTTTTGTCCGATTGTGCTCATAAATTCTCTGGAATTAGATAAAGTTAAAATTGCATGAATTATATCACCACAACTATCCGGACATGAATCACCTTCCTTTCCAAATGCTGCATTTTTAAGTCTATGCACATTGTCTTTATCGTTTTTTTCTGTTCGAATATAACGTCAACTGAGCATTAATATTCCTCCAGTTGTAGCATGCTAGAAAGCACAGTACGTGAGCACATTAGCAAGTCGTTGTCGTTGTCGAGGGAGCGCATTATAATTATGATCTTACACTCATAAAAGCAAACATTTTCGTGGTATTTGATTACAATCGATATCCTGGCCTCCTTCGTTCGCGCGCCGAAGAAGACAATGCACACTTGAAGTCGAGATCGAGTACCGAGCAGAGCTTAACCGATTGTTGCTGCAATGCACGTTGCACACATTCAATATTGGGTGATACGGAAAATCCGCACTATTCGAAACGACTGAATACTGTCGAGCTTCTCTCTAATTGGTTTTGGCAACATTCGTTGGCACCGCATTATAATGCGGCGTTTTATTTACTTGCGCATGTAGTTTGCATAATTAAGAGCGCATTGGATTGTACGTGCAATGCCACTTGAATAAACATTATAATATGACTGCGACTTCCTTAAACGTCTTGCCGCGTACCTTGCCTGTATATATAAAATATCGAAACTCATGGTTTCATCCGTCGGACATTATGGTCTCTTAATGCCGCGCGCCGCGCATAAAAGCCTTTTCATAACCGTTTAATTTTTTATATTGTTTTTAGTAGCATTAAAGTGTCTATTAAAGCATGTTGGATACATTACAAGATACAACGTTAAAGACCAATGCTAATAATGATGAAAACAATAAATGCGCAAAATACAATACATATTATTTAAATAGAGCTTGCTGGTATTGCAGGTCGGCATATGTGCGCATATCGAAGTGCAGATAGGATCAGTTTCTCTGCATAATAAAAACTCGTTTGGACTTTTGTTAGTGCACGTTTTCCCGACTCGACGATCCGAGCGCGGTCTTATTATGCCGTCTTAATACAATTCGTTTTTATCATTATTATTATAACTTTTATTGTTATTATCGTCATGACGGCATGACGATTATGAAGACGATTGTGTTCGGATGTGCACGCGGTGTCGTGATGACGGCGATCGATTTCCGAATGCGATTCGATCGCGCATCGCGACGATGGCCGCGCCGATAGATGGAAAAAGCCCCGACGGCGGAATGCTTTTTGCCCCCATTTTGCAAGACCTGTCGCTTGCGGGACAATCGCGAGAGTTATAATTGTGCGCGAGTGTGCGACGACTTCGCTCCTTAGCTCGGTCGCACGACTTTTTATTTATTATCATCGCCGATATAAATATATACGCTTTTTTGCACGTTTTATTGTTTTATTCGGTTTTGCTCTTCGCTCTTCGTCCCAATGGATCCGCGTGCGGAATACGAATCGGTGCTTCTTCGCCGCTTCTTTTCAATAAGCAGAGCGGAGAAGCGCATCGTGTGCATTAAGCGAAAAACACCAGTGCCTATCGGCCGGCGGATGGGGCAAAGAATCGATGCGCGGAAAAAAGAAAGTTTTCAATACTTTTTGATATATCATAACGTTTTATTGCCCATTGTTCGCCGTCAAACAGAGAACACATTCGAATATGACAAAAAAAGTAACGCAGTCGATGAACAGATGAACGAACACACGCGAGCAATATTTTTTATTCTCATGCAAAAATAGTTTATTGATAATTGGCATGGGCTCATAACTTGCTAACAAACTTTTGAATAAATTAACCTAACCAATCAATACTGATGCAACCTGTGTCCATAAATATATTTTGATGTTTATAAGTTCGTCGAATAAAAACGCATTTAAGTCAGTTTAAGCGGGCAATTTGTCACAACGACTTCTTTGATGGGCTTAGATCGTATCTGCGCTTATCGCCACATGAAGCGGTCACCAATGACCCGTTTTTTGATGGTTCACATTCGCTTAATGGTCTTTGCTCAACTCGCGGCAGGTCGTCGCTGGCACGGCTTATTAAAAGTTGGCCCCACATGCCTATCTTTCAAGTTGGAAATTTTCTCATTCAAACCGTCCCGCTGGACTGCGATGGGCCGTGAGTCGGTGCATTTTTAATTCTCGTTTTGTTTCGCTTGCTTATTGTGCCTTCGATCTTATTGAATGCATTTACACTCGCTTCGATTGCTTTGTGCGGCCATGGCCACATCGCGCGAATGTGTATATAAGTCACGAGGGGGTTTATTAGTTGAAAACAAAGGCGGTATGAATCTTGGTGCGCGCCCGATGCCCATTGTCCTGCGGATTACATGCGCTAAGTGGTCCGACACAAAGGCGAAACGCGTCATCGTCCTTAATGATGTTGATCCTAGTCAGATAGGGGATGACTTCGGCACGATCTACATAGTCATGCGCGAAGGCCCCGGGAGTCTTTTTAACTCTTTTGCTTAACTCGTACAGAATGCAACAGAATCTTTTAAAACTTTTTTTGTATATGATTCATAAATGTCACAAAGTTTACAAGTTAATAGAGTAAAATATTACTATGCTGCTTTTATGGTGATATGGTGGTATAAAATGTTTTAATCGATTTTTTATAGATTAAATTTAGTTGTTACTAAAACTTGTGGACTTTTAGGTACAGTTTTCAGCACGCTACTTTTCGTGGCATTGATTCCACAAGTATTGGCAATGGAGCATCGCATAGTTGCGAATGGTAAGCGTGCATCACCTCGGGAATGTTTTCATTTATTATCGGCGGCCTATTAGACGGTCCTAATTAAAAAATGTAACACCGCCGCCTGCGTATTGCTGCGTCAGTTTCTATAAACGCATTCATTTATTACGCTTCGGAATGCCCATTGCCAAGGTGCCTTTAAGCCGACTCAAGCGGAGTGTAACGAAACCGAAAGTAATTTCGCATCGCACCGTGGCGTCGGACTGCAGAGTGTGACCGATGACGATTCCGACAATACGTGCAAATTGTGTGCGAACAATCCAATCTGGGTTTGCGGCGTCGGGCAGAGTGCCATTATGCCATTCGTTCGCTCGCAATTTGCCTTCGATTCTCGGCCGCAATTCCGTACGATTCTGCACGGTGCTTGTACGCTCCCGGCGATGCCACCCTCAACCATGCGCGCGCGAAGCTTGAGTGTTTTCGTGGGAGCTCCGGGACAAGACACTCGACGTGTTGGACTATGCACACTGAACTGAAACTCGGCACTCACCTATAATGTCGTCGCCTCTCCTGCACTCCTGCATGCTTGGCTCCGGTTGCGAGCGATTTCTATGGCTCTCTTGTGCAGCGGCGCCCTCGTCGAGCGCTTCCTGAAGAAGTAGTTATGACAATTGGGGGGAAGCACACAACACGCAAAAGTCACAAAACACAGCCGTTATTTTTTCACATCGCATATTTATTTTTCAAAATTTGCAGTATCAATTGTATCTTCCTCTCAACACGTAAAAAATATACACAAATAATACAAAAAAAAATCATAATAAAAATGATAATAATAAACAAATAATAAATATATCTATATACAAAAATGTACAAAAATAATACAAATTAATTAGTTCCTTTTTCTTTCATTCTTATAGTACACTTTTCATGATTAGTTTACTTTTTAGTAGTGTTCGATTTCCTTGTTTTTAACTATTCATAGGTTTAAAGTCTTTCATTTGTTTATAAGGTCTAATCAGTCAAGTAGGTTATCACACGAGGTAAGCTTGGCCGCCACCTCCCGATTGCAGCATCACGTGCGGCGGATGTGGCCTCCATGGAGGCCCACGCCTGCCCGACGCGCCACGCTCTAACGTGCTGTAATCCGAGTCGATGCTGGAGTAGATGTGATCTGAGAGCGGCCGAGGCTCTTGCACGCGTCGCATCGGTCGCGGCGATGGCGTCGCCGTCGTCGCCGACGAGTAATTAGCGTCGTCGCCGTCGTGACTCAAGCCGGCCGTATACGCCGGCGGTGGGAACATCTGCATGCCAGGGCTATGCGGCGCCGGCGTCTTGATTTTCTCTGGATACGTATGGTTGTGCGTACCGTTAGCGACAACTCGAGATTCTATTGTGTAGTTGTTGATATTGCGGCGATAATTAGCGTTAATTTTACCGCGTGGCTCTACTGAGGGCATGGCATACTTTAGTTTCTCAAGGAAACGACGTTCGCCCCAGCGTATTCTGTGCCCAGTCTTGAGATATGGACGTAATTCGGGGTCCAACTCTGCCTCCGGCAGCGGGCCATCCTCGATGATGATCAATTTGAACACGCGCCCTTTAAGAGCTTCATGCAAAGCTTGCCTCAGCTCAAAGCGCGACCATTCTGTTTGCATAAAGTTGCGCGTGAGGAAAATTATCACTCGCCGACTGGATTCAGCCGCCTCCAGCACCGCAGGAGCAGCGTGTTGAAGATAAGCGGCGTGTGGCAGATCACGATAATGCAGACACAATTGGAAGGTTTGTTCTAGTTCGGTGGCGAGCGACTGCACCACCCATTCCTCATCTTTGGGACTGTAACACACGAAGCTGTCGTAGAGTTTATCGCGTTCTTCGAACTGCTTGGCGGCAGCAGCACGGAAACTGCAAAGTCGCACACCGTATCGCGAATACAGCCACACGCGCACTGGATCGCGGAAAATGAAAAACAACACCAAGATCAGAAGCAGCAGGAGTATGATACATAGAGTGATCACGGCCGTAGGGAGATAGTTTAGCTCAAACATACTATCGAGAACGCTGCTGCCGGCGTAGTAATCACTGCACGCGGTGCTGTTAAAGTTGAGCTCACGCCGCTGAGGCGGTTTGGAGTCCGTGTTGTAGCACATAATGTCCGCACTATCGATCACTTTCGCGGCGTTGTCGGCAACCCAGGATGTGAGCTCCTGCAGGAACTTGCACCGGCAAGACCACTGGTTGTTGCCGAGGGTGAGTTCGGTGAGGCGCGTGTTCATCGACAGCTGCCAAATGGGATAGACCACTAACTTGTTTCCGTCTAAACGCAATATCTCCAACGACTTTAGCGGCGTCAGCGTCATGTTTCCGATGTAAGCAATCAGATTATTCTGAAGATATAGCTCCTTCAGGTGGGCCAAATGTTCGAATTCGTATCCTTTCAGTTCAAAAATGCGGTTGTCCTCCAGATGCAGTGTTTCGAGTGCATTCAGACCGTTGAATGTGCGATTCTGAATAGTCTCGACACCACTGCCATTAACATATAGTACACGCATGTTCTTGCGCCCGATAAAAACGTGGTTTTGCAATTCTTTGAATTCATTTCCATCTAGGTACACCTCAGTTGCGTCCATAGGAATGCGATGGGGAATTTCAACGGCGTTCTGCCCGGAACAATCAACCACGTTGGTGTTCCAGGTCTGGTCATGGTAGCAAGTGCAGTTGCTAGGACACGTCATTTCGCAATCGCACGCGTCAAAGTCACAACAATGGCAAAGCGCGAAGCAGTGTGTTTCGTATGTACACAAGAAGTCACCAGGTTTAGCGCGCACAAGCGGCATGTGCGTCATGCCCCGCGAATGTGTCATCCGGCACATGACATTGTCCAAGTCCATCACTCGCGGATACTGGCGCGTCTCGGTCATATTGTTGATCAGCTGGAGCCACTCCATGGAACAGTCACAATGAAATGGATTGCCGCCTAAGTAGATCTCTGCGAGAGACCTATTCAACGGCACTGGCGGCATGCGCAACGCGGTCAGCTCGAGGTTCACCAGATCGTTGGAGTACATATCCACTCGCGTGAGACTAGTTTTGTCTAGGAACGTGTTCGGGTGCACCTTCTTGATGAAGTTGTTGTTAATGAACAGGAGTTCAATACTGTTTGGTATGCTCATCGGTGAGACTTCACTAATTCTATTATGACTAGCATCCAACGTCTTTACGCGAATCGTGTCCTGCATCTTGTAGTAGTTGTTGAGGTGTTCGATGAAGTTGCCGTGAATGTCCAGCCACTTGAGGTTGCTTGGAATGAACGCATAGTCAAACCACACCAGATGATTGCCGGATAAGTTCAACCAGAGGAGGCTAGCTAGCGTCACGAAGATGCCGTTAATGTCCGTCAGGTAATTTTCATCCAAGCGAATCGCCTCGATTTGCATGTTGCGCTCGAACGTACCGAGTTCGATATTCTGCACCTTGTTCTTAGCCAGATTCAGTACTTGCAAGCTGGGCAGGTCCCAGAACATTCCGCGCGTAAGATTGCCGACTTTGTTATCGATGAGGCGCAAGCCGGTGAGCTGATTTAAATTCTTGAACGTGCCGTTCTTGAAGCCGCTGATCTGATTTTCGCCAAGATCTAGCGTCTTCAAGAAGGTAAGCTCCTGTACGGCTTCCGGAACTTCTTCGAGAACGTTGGAACTTAGGTCAAGTTCTTTCAACGCCGAACAGTTGTGGAAGGCGCCAGCGTCCACGTTCACAATCAAATTATTGTTCAGCGTTAATTTGCTAAGCACGAACAAACCATTAAACAACAAGGGACCGATGGTGTTGAGACGGTTTTCAGCCAAGTTCAAAGTGTGAAGATTGTAAAGGGGCAAAAACGCGTTGTCCTCGATAAATCCAATAGAGTTGTTTCGAAGATCCAAAATTTGTAAGAAAAACAAATCTTTGAAAGTACGTCCATCGATGCGTGTGAGAGCATTGTGAGACAGATTAAGCACGATAAGTCGAATTAATCCGGTGAAAGTGCCAGCATCGATGTGACCACTCGTCAATTGATTGCCCGACAGATCCAATACCAAGAGCTGCTCCAAGCGATGAAACAATCCTTTGGCAAGTGCAAAAAGTGAGTTGTTTTGTAAATGCACTTCGCGCAATTCACGAGAGTTAGTAAACAATCCCTGTGGCAATTCACTGATCTTGTTGTTTGCAAGATTCAGAATTCTTAAAGAGACGAGCCCACTAAGAGCATCGGCGGAAACTTCGCTGATGTTATTGAATTGCAAATTCAATTGCTGCAATCTTCGGAGCCGCGAGAAGCCGGACGTGTCACTTAACGATCGCATCTCGTTGTAGGACAAGTCCAAAGTTTGAAGATCCATGCTGCTGCACATCGCTACCCTATCGTTACCGTCCCCAAACCCAAGACGCTCAGAGTTTTTAATTCGGTTGCGAGTGAGATTCAGTGTTTGCAAATTGATCAAGGGGCAAAAAACGCCTTCGGGAAGAGCGCGGATGTTATTATCACCCAAATTCAAGATTTGCAGCTCCTTTAAGCCTGATAAACTGCTAGTCGTCAGTTGGAGCGATTTTCCATTGGACCACTCCGAGTTGCGGGTATTGATAGCAATTTTCTTCAAAGACTTCAATCCGAAGAAGGAATTGCTATCGATATTCGTCAGCTTACAGCTCTCAATCTGCAATTCTTGTAAATCTTCAAGTCGCCTAATGGCGCCCGATGGTAACGTGCTCTCAAAGTGGGACACATCGCTGCAAAATAGTCGCAAGCGAGTGATGCCTTCAGGAAGCGTGCTTAAGTTAGCACTTGACTCATCCAGCGTCCGCATCCTGCATGTGACTGCAAGACGCGTAGCTGCGGCAGTATCCGTAGAATCCACTCTGGAGGTGCACTGCTCCGGCCCATCGAATCTGGCCCAGGCTACCGCGGCGAAGAACGCGAGAAGCGCTAAAATATGCGCCTGCGACCACATCTTCACCAACTGAACTTAGAAAAAACGAAAAAGTTTTTCAAGTCGCGAATCGACAATTCGTAATCATGTCCTAACTAACATAGAAGTTAGCCGTCCCGGAAATCCAAAAAAGTTCGCAACTTTTCGTTACACCCCGCACATTGTTGATAGTTGTAATTGTAATCCAAGCAATTCAAAATTGAATAATGTGGGTCGCACTGAGAACACACACACTGATCGCTCCAAGTAAACTCGTTTTTATTCTAACACGAACTGAAGCACATAACTGTTGGTCCGCCTCGGTTGCTCTTTCGAGGACTTGTTCTTGTTTCAAGTTGCAACACTCGAGTGAAAACTCTGCGCGCGCTGCCTACAGGTACGAACCGACCGTGGCAACAGTCGACGCAAGACTAAAGTTCCGACGAGCGCTGCCGCGGTATTAAAACCGATGCGAGAGAGTCGCTTGTTTGGAGTTGCGCGCCAGCGTTCGCTTGAGTTTCGAGCTCCGGCCACCGCGACTGGGCGCCACCGTACAGTCCTCTTCGGTCTCTCAAAGAAGAATATCGCATGTGGTGAGCATTTCTACCTGTCCACCGCGGCCCAACGACTGGGGTAAAAAATAATCCGCACCCAACACGCACGCAAACCGATTAGATATTACTTTGGCTTAAAAAGATAAGAAGTTACTTTTTCGATGTGGCCTGCCTGATTTTGGTAGGCTTTGCTTTTGAAGGTGGTAGAGAATCGGTTGGAATATGGATAAACTACCTGCCGGATTAAAAACGTACAACAAAGCAATTTCGCGACAGAAAAAAGCGCAGGGCGGACAGTAATGTGGGAAGAAGCGTAAGATCTCAAGCATAAATATATTTTGTTATGACGTAAAGTCTTAAAAGGTCCTCGTTCTCAAAGCAGGTTGGCGAGGATTTCATCGCAACGCTGGATTAAATTAAGAAATACTTTTGATTAAAGTCGTAAAGGTTTGCACTGAAGGCCAGAACCACCCAAGATTGTTAGCCTTCGCCAGAACTTTAAATCCTGCTTAATAAAAGCCAAATATACTTCGTGAGATAATCATATTTCTATCTGATCAAATTTTACATTTTACTCACCCGGTAAATCAGGTTTAACTTTACTATAGGTACTCGGTATTCTGCAGTTGCTACAAAAATAATTTTTTATGGTTTTCAAGTAAAAATCACAAAATTAGCGACTGTGTGCGAGTTTTTTTACCGCGTCTGCAAATACTTTCTTTGCACTTCGCACATCTTTCATCTCGTGCTCATTTTGGCGAAAATGTGAACGAGAATATTTGATGCGGATTTATTGCGGCCACATGCAAACCGTTTTACAGGCCGACGCGAGCGCAATTCGACTTTGCGTATTGCGCCTAATAAAAATTTATAGTCGGCGGTTGGCTTTACGTTTTCTTCGGTTGCTTCCTCGGTCGAAGATCAGAAGAGAGAAATTAGATGCGATTGAGGCAATTTGGCCTGCGGGCAAAGCTTCCTCGGTTTGTTTGATTGTCTGGTGTGTCCGCGTTTGTGGTGCCGCAAAAATTGCAATAAACTTAACTATTGCGGGTTGTAAAAATTAATATAAGAAGAGGTAATAAAAATTTGCCACCGAATGCGGCCACTATTCAAACCACATCAACAGCACACCCTCCAAATATCAGTAAAGGGCGGAAAGCAAATAAGATCCAGACCAAGTTTATTGCTGGTGAAGTTGCTTCAAGTATACATGTGCGGTGCTCTTTTAGAGTAGTTTACTTCGTGGGAATAAGTCAAACGGTTTTACCCAAACCCACACTCAGGTACTGAGCACATGTGTACCTTAAGTTTAAGTTGATTTAACTCAGATGTAGAGTACTTTTTGGTACTGGTATATTTTGGACAAATAATTGAAAATAGATATTAATTTTATAATAAATCACAAAAAAATATGATTGATATTATTTTTTTTGCTTACTGCTTCGCTAGATTTAATGCCAACGACAATTCCAAAGTGCTAGCGCTTAAGATTATACTATTTCTCTCCTTTGCAGACAGCATCGGTAGAGCTCTATGCGCAGTTCTCTGTAAACAGGTTTGGACCTCTGTGATACGTAACTTAAGTCAGAATCTTTGCGCTTACAGACATGGGGAGACATCTATACGCTGAATGAGCAAGCAGCACATAACAGCTTGCAGTTAAATGCGTATTTGTCTGATATTATCATAATTTTACACTGGAAATAAATAGAATAAAGTAATTATAATAATTTAATGTTGATAGTAAATAATAATGTTAAGTAATGATAAATTTTTTTTAAGTACGTTTACGCTGGGACCTCTATACTCTAGAAGTAGAACTTACTTTGGATATAATTTGGCCTTGAATTGTATATTGTTAAATTATTGACTGTTAAAAAACCGTCCATGTGCTGTGCTGTGAATGTGTGTTAACAAATATTAAAAATTTACAGTGAGTAGCAACCTCAACAATTTATTTTTACTTAAGTCAATTTACAGCGTTCTTCCTATGGTTCCCTACGTCCATAATTGCGTCAGAAATAAAGAATGTATGCCGGAAAATGCAGAAAAATGTTTCGTTGCAAAACAAACCTCTCGTGAGTTTGTTCCGGGTTCGCAATAGTTTCATCCCCTCACCACTTTTGTTCACGTACGCGTTCATTCAATCGCTGGTTACCTTTTTGGTCTGCCGGGCGGATGACGTGCAACGCTTTCAATGACTTCCCTGACTTGATTAACCCATAAACAATTCATGATATTTGTCGGCTGTGTTTGCACGCCGTGGCGTTGCATCGTTGGGCCGCTCCTCGCCGCCGTTGGTTTTACTCATTCATGATCCTCACCATGCACCCGCCGACGCTAACTTTGGCCCTCTCTATCAGTCGTCTGGCCCGGCAGCGAAAGTTGCAATTTGTAAACTACATAAAAACGTAATATTTCTGCGTGGTTAGCACCACCTAGTAAAGCAATTCTAGGCAAAAAAGGAAATACTGATAGCCATTGAAGCTGTTAACACAGACGAAAGCTAGAAATGTTTTGGGAAATAAGGGTGGGTTGTACTTGATATACAAACATAAAAATTTAAAAGGATGGGTGCTATTCAAAAGGGCAAAAAACAAAAAAAAGTTAAGATGAGACTGACGTCAAGAAACAATAGGATAGATTGAGACAAGGACGAGTCCTTGAAGGACCTACGAGTCGAGACAATTGAAACAATTAATTTCCACTTTAATGAACTGAACAGCGAACACGGTGTTTTATTATAATTTTCCGGACGGGCTGACGTAGGAGAATTGGTCGATTCAATCAAATAACAATAAAGGAAACGATAAAAACTCTGCCGCTTTCTTTTGATTTTATCAAGAGCAAATTAATTGCTTTTCCTTATAATTACATTCGACCTACAATTTGTGTTACTGGAAAAAATATACCAACTTTTCAATATTTTCAAACAAGTTTTTGAACAGGTTTTACTAGCTTCAATTCAACAATGTCAGACGATCACATTTCTCTCTTTCTCTGATAAGAACGAGGGGATTTTATATCTCAGGATTCCCTTTCTGCATGCAGGAATGCGTGTGTGTATTTTGATTTATCGGTTCCCTTATCGGCTGTTATTATGTAGTCCCCGCGTACTCTTATCATCATATAGATTGTTTTCTCTTCCTGGTTGTCTCGCGCCAATATCGAAATGATAATGATTTTTTTTCGATTGCCCCTCCACCAAATCCATTGCGCCGTAAATATGGTAAAAAGATGCAAACGTGCGTCCTTGTGTGGATGCATTTGAGGGTGAAATTAGACGCGTTTGCCACCCCTCAAAGACGCCAAATAGTAAGTCCCTTATTGAAAATTTTCTACTGAAATATTTTCCAAACGACCAGTATAATGCTGAGTGGTGGGTTGTTTTATAGTAAAATTCCAAATGGGCGTGCACCTAATTTAAATTTACACGTAACTTTAAGGTATTTAGTCTTTTGCATAGGGGATGCGTCCTTTCGAATCTAGTCCTTTCTGCTTTGGTCTTTTCATGTAGGTATGCTACTATTCATCCTGATGTAGATGAATGGAACTGTAGACTTAGTTTTTCCAGGATCCCTTTATTTAGATTTAAATGTAACTGCAGTGCAACAAACCGATGCACTGCTGCAGAGATCTACAACGGCGTAGACGAAATGAATGGACCGTTCTTCTGGTTTTGAACAGAACTGCAACGGAATTAGAAAGCCCGCCGTAGTAATTCCAGTCGATATCCGAGATTGTTGATTGCAGTGAGATTTTAGGACTGTTTGTTAGAGAAAGATCAAAGTTAAAGGTTTAGTCTACTTTGTATGTAATTCATTAGGAACGGAACATACTTGTATGAAGCACATTAATTAATTGCAAAGCAGCGCAAATAAACAAAATAGTGCTTAGTTTGAAATTTAAAGAAAAGGACTTTTCACTGGGTGGACAGTTAATACACAATGCAATGGGAACTATCAAATGTTAGTTCTTTTTGGTGTTTCATTTATATTGCTTCTACGTGCTATCCTCGTGATTTTGTAGAGTCTAGAGTCAAACAATTTTTGGACCTTGCACACTCTTCTTGATATTTTTCTACTCTGTGTTCTCTACTTGTCAACTCGTCGGTATGCAGTGTTTCATGTTACAGTTGCTTGAGCTTGAGTATACACAGAACTTGTGTGTTTTAAGAGGACGTCATTCTTCTAGTACGACGTGTCTTTGCAATATGGTTCGCTGCAAGGATGAGTATGTGTATTTTGTGAAAAAGATACTTTGATGCGGAACCAGAAATATCGAAAATACTTTCTATTTTTCATCTACTTCTCTTTACCATTGTTGAGTCTTGTGTGAGATATTGCTGAAACACTCCAGTGTTTATCTTTTTTCAAGATATCAAAGACAACACAAACAAGGCAACAATTTATGGGATACTTTTTCATCTTCCAAAATATTTTTTGTAAATTGGTGGAGGGTAAAATGTTTATTGCCCGTATTTGTTTTCAAGTGACTGTAGTTGGAAGTTAAATTAAGAAGCAATTTTCTAAAGTGACCAAACATCATTAATAATATAGCAGTGATTCACAGATAATTGCTGCAGCTTGCAATGTGTGCCAATTTGTAATTTTATTTTTCAAAAATAGAATCCATTCGCACAATTGACATTGCACGAGGCAGCAGTTGTTCAGTTCTCAGTAATTATAAAATCGATGATCTTTATGCTCTTTATGTGCATGTATAGTTTCTGTACGATTTGTGTGAATATATGTTTTATCCTGTACACATCGGAAAAACATCCGCGCGGCAATTTTCTCAATGGATGAAACTACAAAAAGCTCAATTGAAGTTGGCATATGTGCGCGAGGACTGCTCGTAGAATGAAAGAGAGACCCTAGTAAATTCCACATGATTCCTCTT